TTAGCTTGTCTCTATTCATTTACCTTCTTTAATGTCTGAATGAATAAAACCAGTTGCATCTTACACAGTCAAGAGGATATCCCACTGATCCCTAAATAAGTCTTTCAAAAACCATGCCTAAAATCACAGATCACCACTTTGAGATCTAAAACTCTTGATATGAGATGTCCACTACAATAGAAATCACAAAGATCTGGGGTGCCTGGGTGGCTCAGTTGATGAAGCACTGCCTCTTGATTTGGGCTCAGGTCATGATCTCAGGGTCCTGGGATCAAGCACTGCATTGGGCCCCACGTTCAGCAGCGAGTCGGCTTGAGGATGCTCTCTGCCCCCCACCTCGTGTGCTCTCACTCTCTCAAATAAATGTTAAAAAAAGAAAGTGTAAAAAGAGCCTTTTATACCCCATCCCCTGTCACATCACACACCATTTTTTATATACTCTGGCAGTCAGTCGCAGGTTTTATTCTCCTGGGCAGGTGTTCAATAGATGGTTTTGTACCGTTTTATAGTCCATTTCACCAATCCCTTCCTGGAAGGGAAGTTTTGTGGTTCAAATGCATCTTTTGCCTTAGGTAGGTGATGACTGCCTTTTTTCTTTCCCTGTCCCATTTTCAGTCCAAAGTATTCTGACATTCCAACTACCCCTTCTCCCTTCACACTTCCCCTTTTTTGTACTTGGAAGCGAAATCCTGGGATATGAACATAAGGTGTACACCTTTGCATGTTTTTCTAGTACTCTACTCCAACATCTTTTATCTCTCTAAAAGAGAATAGTAAGAGAATAAGAAGTAAAAATCTGGGGGCCCCTGGGTGGCTCACCCTTGGCCCAGGTCATCATCTCAGGGCCCTAGGATCGAGCCCCGCATCAGGCTCCTTGCTCAGCGGGTAGTCTGCGCTCTCTCCCTGTGTCAAATAAATAAAATAAAATCTTTTAAAAAAAAGTAATAATCTGTAATACGTAAACTAAAAATGGATGGGATTAGGGCAGCTAAATTTGCAGAGGTGAAATATACCAAAGAAACTATGATTTTTGCCAACGTGCTTGAATAACCCATACTTTTTAAATTTTTTTTTTT